TGATATAAGCAGAATCTATATTTTGTCAAATGCATTTTGTTTTTTCTTGATATCTAATGGGATACAAATGCTTTTTTTAAAATTATATGAGCCTGAGATTCTGCAGAACCTGGTGGTACAAATCTTGTTTTCAATCCAAATGTTTTCCTTGTAATTTAATTCAAACCAATATTTGCATTGCTAGGGCCTGCAGACCTCCAGGCCGATATACTTGAAAACAAAGCTTTTGTTTAATACAGCTCTTCTGGAATGACAAGATCAGTTCTTTAAGTTGGTCAGATTGAAACCCTCATCTTTGCCTGAGTTTGAATGATGGTATCACATGTTGTTTAATCTGTCCTTTGATTTATCAGCGTGTGCTGAAGATGCATGGGAGAGAGATCACTTTGGGACTACTACTAATTAAAGTTTTATCACTTAACTTTCAGGATGTTGGCAACTGTAATGAATGCAATATTCTTACAAGCTACAATGGAGAGCATTGGAATCCCCACAAGAGTCCAAACTGCATTTAGAATGTCAGAAGTTGCTGAACCATATATCCGTAGAAGGGCTGTTAGGCATCTTGAGAAAGGGAGAGTAGTAATTTTTGCAGCAGGAACTGGAAATCCCTTCTTCACGACAGACACTGCTGCAGCTCTGCGTTGTGCAGAGAGTGAGTTCTACTTCTTCCTGATTCAGATGCTCTACATGCATGGAACTTTGACATACTTGCAAATTAAAGTGGATTCTGCAAAATATCTTTCTTCCTTCCTAAATTGGATTAAAGAGAAAACAAAACTAAGAAGAAAATGTTACAAGGTCACTATACGCCTTAAACTGTCCTATATTTTAGAAGTACATAATGGAGTGGATAATGACTAAAGTTCCTTCAGAGGTGGGTTGGTAATTTTCTTAAAATCATTCATGGATCATGTTGAAAGGAAGAAGTATTACCCAGGGTGTTATGTAATAGAAGAATGCCTACCAAAGTGAAAGGTAAGTTCTACGGAACAGTTATATGTCCGACAATGTTTATGGCAGTGAATGCTGGGCCTCTAAAGTCCAACATATCCAAAAGACGAGTATTAGAGAGTTGCAGATGCTAAAGATGGATGTGCATCCATACAAGATTAGATAAGATTAAAAATGACCACATTAAATAGAAGGTGCAAGTAGCACGCATTAGGATAAACTGAGATAGTTGCTTGAGATGGTTCAGTCATGTCCTGCATAGACCTACTGATGCACCTCTTTGTAGGTGTGAAAGTATGGTGGGTGATGGTGTTAAAAGGATATGAAGTAAACCTAAAATTACATGGAAGAAAGTTGTCTCAAACGACCTACAATTTCTTGAAATCAATGCAGACTTGGGGAAAGATAAAGCACAACGGAAGAAAAAGATCCATATAGGTAGTATCTACCCATTGAGAATAGGTTTTAGTCTTGTTAGTACTTTGATTTTGAATTTATTGCTGTCGCAGGAGTATTTTGATCTTATTATAGATTTAGATGCCGATAAAAATATAGAGAACTTTTAATATTATTGTTATTACCATTATTTAATATATATTTAACTTAGTTTTTTTCACTTTATTTTTATTTGGTGGCATGATGAAATAAATGAGTTGAGTGTAAATAGAGAAATATGATCGGTGAGGTTCATATGGTCGATCCCAACTTGTTTGGGACTGAAGGGTAGTTGTTTATGTTGAAATTCTTCATTGCTCGTGTGAAGCTATTTGGCTAAGAATATACCAAGTTTATTGAATGCACACTTCAACACTTATGTTTACTAACTCCCTCCGTTTCAAAAAGAGTGACCTAGTTTGACTTGACACGAAGTTCAAGAAAATAAAGAAGACTTTTGAATGTTTTGGTCCTAAATTAAAGTTATGTCAAATGTACAAAATTGCCCTTTAATCTTGTGGCCTTAAACATGCCACGTGGAAAGCTGAAATTAAAATGTTATCAAAAAAAAGAAAGAGGTCATTCTTTTTGAAACAGATTACAGACTAAAAAGGAAAGGGGGTCATTCTTGTTGAAACAGAGGGAGTAATATATATCTCCATTAAATGAAACATGTCACGCACAAACATTGGAACATGATTGAATTGTTTGTCCCCAAATGATTCTCATCCAAGTGATGATTTGGTCTTTGAGACAAATGGCGCTCTGCTACTGAAACATATATGAGAGTGCACGTCTCTTTCTTTTTTTGTTTCTCACCAATCAAATTTTGAATGCATTGCAGTTAATGCTGAGGTGGTGTTGAAGGCAACAAACGTTGATGGAGTCTATGATGATAACCCTAAGCATAATCCTGATGCTCGTCTTCAGGATAACCTGACTTACCATGATGTAATTTCAAAAGAGCTCTCAGTGATGGACCTTACTGCAATTACTTTGTGCCAAGAGAATAACATTCCAGGTACGAGGCTTTCAGCCTTTGGATTCCTTTTATCATTTTCAGGATGACTCTGGAGGTGTCATTGGCGAGCCTTTCCCTTTTAAATCAACTTACAAATTGACTCATCCAATCTTATTTTTCATTTTGCAGTTGTCGTTTTTAATCTCAATAAAACAGGTAACATTGCTAAAGCCATTAAAGGAGAGAGGGTTGGCACATTGATTGGTGACACATGGAATACAGAAGCAGTAGTATCTTAAGAGGACAAAAAGTTGGTTTCAGCAGATGGAAGTTGGATTACTGTTTGTAGCATTTCAACACACTCAGAGAGCTCATTTTGGCAGATTGTTCCAAGAAGTTGGCACTCAAAGTATTGAGTAAATTATGTGCCGTTTGCCCTTTGAAAACTATGGATTCGAAAGTACTGGAGATAAGCATATAATCTCCCGGAATTTTTAACATAAATGCTGATACTGGATACTACTCCCTTGGAATTTTCAGAGCTTTTCTTGAAGTGCAAAACTAGGCAGCCAAGAGTTTCATTCTTTGACATGTAATGCTACTTTATATCTACATTTCTATTCTTGCCCCTAACATATCCATTCACTTAGGGGTTGTTTTGGTTTGAATATGATCTATCTCTAAGAATTATGCATTACTTATATATGGTTTGATGTATAACAAAATTTACTGCGTATGTAAAATTGCGTACTACTTATATAGCGTTTGTTTTTTGATACAAAATGCTGCATGTCAGTTATATCTATGCATAACTAATATTCCATTTGTTTTATTTTATGTGTATTGATTAGTTTGACTCAAAATAAATAACAATGAATCAATTAACAATATAAAAATAATTAATTGGGCTTAGTCTGTTCTCCGGTGTGGCTATTCAACGATACCATAAAAGTAAGAAGCAAAGTGATTTGAGAGTTGGTTACACAGCTTCATAAAAACAGTCATCTGAATGTTCCCGGCCTTGTAACTCTGAAATCGAACCAATAGGGATTGCAACTTCAGATCTTCAGGGAATATGTGGCGGATCTAGGTTTTTAAAATTATGGGTGCTCTCTTAGCTTAGTAAAAAAAAAAACGTGTTAAGAGTGAGACTCAAATTCAGGCTCACTTAAGCATCACATGAGCCATTAAATCGTGTCTGTGGATCCGCCCGGTCGCCCCTACCTTTGCCGCCGTATCATGTCTGATCTCTTCAATCTTCGCATGTCATCATTTAATACGTAGTTTATATATATATATAAAAGAAGAAAATCCTTGAAGCATTGTTAGATAGTCAAGGAAAAAACTTAAGAAAATCCTTCCCTTGGTAAGATCTCATTTATTACTACCGACACCTAAAAAAAAAAGAAGAAAAAAAAGATGTGGAAAGTCTAGTGAGTTGTGACTATCGTACTCAATTCCGTGATACTCTTTCCAAGTCTTGCGGCGCCCCACTCTCCAATTGATTTCATTTTTCACGTATATAGTAGTAGTAGTCTTATTCATTGCTTATAATTTACTCCCGCTCACTTTTACGTCATATTTGAATTTGACACACTCATTAATAAAATAATAATTGACATAATTTTATTTATTTTATCACATTATTCTTATTAATTGATATTTATTATTATGTTTTGGAGAATAAGTGAATTAATGCTAAAGATAAAATGTGATTTTTTAAAAATCTTTTTTTGATATGTTAAAAGTGACAACTAAAATGAAAATCTATTTTTAAAATAATGAATAAATAGAAATGAAGAAAGAAAGTATTAGGAAGATCACAAAAATATTTCTTCATTAAATTAATTTAAGTTTACTTCTTTTTGTGGTTAGAATAGTCAACCAACTGACTTGATTCCCAAATTTTACTTGTAAAACTAGTAAAGTGTAAAATTGAGGGGTCGTTTGGTAGAGTGTATAAGAATAATGCTAAATAAAGTGTATTAGTATTATTTGCATTAGCAATGTATGTATTAGTTATGCTTGCATTAATTATACATAGATTATTTTAATGCATTGTTTGGTTTGATGCATTAAAAATAGTATGTATTGCATTAAAAATATTATTTACAAAGATACCCTCCATTTTTATGTGAAAAAGGTGTAAAAAAAACTTTTGAGGGGCAATTGGATCTTTTATTATGTTAATTCATGCATTAAAATCATTGCATTGTTAATACCTAAAAATCCATGATATTAACAATGCAGACTTTAATACACAATAGAGAGTGTATAACTAATGCAAACATTAGTTTACATAAGTTGAAAAAGAGTACCAAACAAGGTACTAGTAATACACAAAACTAATACATGCAATATTTTTCTTAATACACTCTACCAAACGACCCCTTAAAGTTATAGTAAAATATATTTATTAATTTGACATTACTTTTACTGTAAGAAATAAATATAATTAAGCTATTTTAGTATGACAAAGAAATTGAATGATCTCTCTACCACTGCACCCCAAAACCTCATTCCTCACATTTCTCACCATTGATCACCCGAAGCCCCTCCCTTTCACACTGGTCAGACACTTCTTTTTCAACCATTCATCCATATATATATATATATATATAACAACTTCAACAAACCAAATTAGCTAATGCAATTCAATGGCATCTGGTAATTTCTCTCTGGCAATCCTCTTCTTATTCTTCTCCCTCTCTCACGCCATTGATGATCATCACCACCATTTGCCGCCTGAAATTCGAGAAGCTTGTAAAGTCTCACATGATCCATCAAAATGCGAGGCTTCCTTCCATTATCACTTTCCTTCAAATCTCTCAACCCTTCAAATAATCTATTCAGCATTAGCTCGCTCCTCGCATAAACTCACCAAGGCCCAGGCCTTGGTGAAGGATATACAAAAAGCTTCTGCTGGAAACGTGAATGTTACCGTTGCCGCGGTAAATTGTGTGGAGGGACTCGCTTTTTCAGAATACAGATTTAAGCAGACGGCTAATGATGCATTGCCAAGAGGCGAAATTAAGGACGCTCGCGCATGGATGAGCGCAGCCTTAGGGTATCAACATGGCTGCTCCGCGGGTTTACAGAAGGTGAATGACACCTCACGAGTTATACAAACTATAGTGTTAATGGAGTCATTGATTGGGTTTACCAGCAATACTTTGGGGATGATAATCAATTTTGATATTCATGGGAATCAAATCGGATCATGGAGTCCGCCTAAAACTGAACGTCAAGGATTTTGGGAAGGTGTTACAGGAACCAGGTATTGAAAATTTGTACTCAACTGCTTCAATTTATTTGTCTAGTTTTGACTTGATACGAAATTTATATTTGGACATTATCAGAATGGATGTGAAGGGAGGAGTTCCATCGAATTTGAAGCCGAATGTGATGGTTTGCAAGGCAGGAAATTGTGAGTATAGGACGGTGCAGGATGCGGTGAATGCAGCGCCTAACAACTTGGTTTCTGAGAGATTTGTGATATGGATCAAGGCGGGGTTGTATGATGAGATTGTTAGGGTTCCTATGGCGAAGAGGAATTTGGTGTTTTTAGGAGATGGAATGGGACAAACTGTTATTACAGGATCATTGAATGTTGGTAACATGGCCAACAGTGGCGTCACTACTTTTGAATCTGCTACTGTCGGTAAGTGGTTTATTTTCTCTTTTGGAAAGTCTTTTATCACTTCAAATTTGGTATTCACTACTTTTGAATCTGCTACTGTCGGTAAGTGGTTTATTTTCTCTTTTTCGAAAGTCTTTTATCACTTAAATTTGGTATTCGATACTCGCATTGAAGTCCAATCTCCTTCTTACCAAAATTGTTTCTATATTCAAAATTTGAATCCGAACCTCTAGTTAAAAAAGGAACAGTCTAATCTGTTGCACCACATGTGTGGTTGTTATTTTCTACTAGTACTATGTAGCCCAGTATTTAATGCTCATAATATGCATTGGCATCCAAAAGTCGCACTTCTTGCCAAATTGTTGGATAAAACATCCCCATCCTATAATTAATAATTCTAAGTTAGTAGGTGCAAGAGGAGAATATTTTCAAATACGATCAATGAATAATTCCCGCAATATCATATTTTTTCACATTAAAATAATTATTTTTTACCATTATTATAATAACAAAGTTAGTTAACTTTGCATATTACTTCCTTTGTCCTATTTTAATTGTCGCTTTAACTCAAAAAAAATAATATTCTAAAGTGTACATCTACACTTGATAGTTTTTAGGTGCTTTGGGCCGTTTTGATCATGTTTTATTGTTTTGTTTTAAAAAACAGGAGTACTTGGAGATGGATTCATGGCCAGGGATCTAACGATCCAAAACACAGCAGGTGCTGGTGCTCAACAAGCAGTAGCTTTTCGATCCAGCAGTGATCGTTCTGTGATAGAAAATTGTGAATTTCTGGGTAACCAAGACACACTTTATGTCAATTCTTTGCGCCAATATTACAAGTCATGTCGAATACAAGGTAATGTAGATTTCATCTTTGGAAACGCGGCTGCCTTCTTCCAAGACTGTGACATCTTAGTTTCCCCTCGAATAGTAAATCCAGAGAATGGTGAAACCAATGCTATCACTGCTCACGGTAGAATAGAGCCAGGTCAATCAACCGGTTTCGTCTTCCACAATTGTTCCATCAATGGAACTCCAGAATATATGAAGTTGTATAACAGTAATCCTAGTGTACACAAAACTTACCTTGGAAGGCCGTGGAAGGAATATTCGAGGACAGTTTATATACAATGTCAATTTGGGGATCTTATTAATCCTGATGGATGGATGCCTTGGAGTGGTGAATTTGCTTTGAATACACTTTACTATGGAGAATTCGGAAATACTGGAGCTGGAGCTAATGCAAAAGAACGAGTGCTGTGGAGTAGCCAAATTCCAGCTCAACATCTGTATTCATACTCTGTTCAGAATTTCATTCAAGGCGATCGATGGATTCCTTCATGTTCATGATTTATAGAGAACAGTACTATTAACCCATTATTTATTTGACAATACAATTTTATCTGCTGAATTGCAGATAACGAAATCTGTATAGATCATCGAACGGAGTTTGAACATTTTGTCTTGCTACGTCTAAAATTGTGATCAAAACTCATCTTCTTTTTCATGAAATTCGTGATGCAGCAACAAAATGTAGCCATTAATGTTGCTTATTTTGTAATACATACTTTTTTTTTTTTTTTTTGCAATAGAAAGGATGACGTTGATTACTTACAATGTGTTGATCTTGTTTCATAGTCACTCAATTGATGATCAAACTAATTCCATAAGGTGTTGGATGTGTAGTAGCCTTAGGCTAGGCGGTCCCAGTCGTATCAAGGCACTGACATAACATTGATATTTTGTGCACTCCTATTTCTTCTATGAAACAAGTTAAAGTTACGTGTTTCATCTTTGCCTAACCGGAAAAGTAAAGCATCGGAGAAATAATGAATTACATAGGAGTAATATTTTTACCCCTATGTAATATTAGTATTCGTAACTCACACCTCTACATTTTTCTCACTTCTTTCACTTAATTAGTACTCCACTTTTATTAGATATATATATTGGGTTGTTCAAAAGTTAATTTGATTAGTTTTTAAAGCTAAATTGGATTACATTAATTTAATTTTTTTAAAAAAAATTTAGATATTCAAAAACTATATGAAAAGTGCTATAAATTGCAATTTTTTTACATATCAATATGATAAAAAATTACATCGTAAAATGTTAGTCAAAGTTCTTATAATTTGACGCCAAAGAAGAAAATTATGTCAATTAAAAGTGGACGGAGGAAGTATTAGTATTCATAATGTTTTTGAAATGCAATTTTTTTTTGTTATTTTTTCACGACTTAGATTAGTTTCAATCAACATATAGCATAACTTGTGAATTAATTTATTTTGGTACGTGATTATTTGTCAGCAATATCTAATTATTATGCAATTACCTTTACCAGAGTTCGATGTACAGGGAATTGAGTTGGGTTATTTAATGAAAAATTCACTTAATCGTTATACTAGGGAATCAGTGATATGTGGTCAAAGATGTTTGCTAACAAATCTGGAGCTGGAGGTAATTGATCTTATTTATAGTTTTTTCTTCATCAAATATTTGCTAATATGTGTTATGGCGCGAATAAATTCACTATATATATATATATAAAGGAGAAACATAGAGGAGGTGATGTGGCACCTCTCTATGGCCTCCATTCACATTTATTTTATTTTTTTTGGATTTTTTCTCTCTCTTTCTCTATATAAAAATTGATTAACAAAAGTCGTAAATATTTGGACAATAAATCTCATGTAATTATATTGAGTCAGCCCACGCTGTAGCAGTAACCTAAGATGTTCTTATCATAAAAATTTATTACACGTACATTCAATCTCTTTTATGGAGAATAACAGATTCATTAGGAAGTTTAAAAGTGGCATCAATTTTATTGTCCAACAAATATATATAAGAGGAGAAACTCATCTTTGTTTCCTACTACTAAGCCATGAAATGGGACTGCAGCTTCTTCTCAATTTGTCAAGTTTGAACTTTGATCTGAGGTGCTATTAACACAGCAATATACTTTCTTTGGTATGTCAAATTTATTCTTCTATTACATTCTTTTCCCCCTTTTCTTATGCTTCAATTTTTATTATCACATAGTAGCCAAAGCCTATGAACAATTTAAAGGTTCCTTTTATTTTTTAAATTATAGTTTACGATTTTACGTTATTCATTATCAATTGAGATGCAATAATCTTTTTTAAAGTATCGTCATTTTTCTTTGGTCTAATGGATAAACTTTGTTTAGATCTTCATATTTTTCCATGCTTAACTGATAGTATATCTATGACATTCTCGACCTTGTAAAATATTCTGAATCTCAATTTTACAATAGTTTATAATTAAGTGCAACTGATGAGGTCTTGAAAAATATAAAAAAATAATTTCGACAAAAATCAAATAGCAAAAATATTAGATTGAAAATACGGAATTGGATACAAATATGCTTAGAACTTAGAAGAAAGGGAGACGATTTACCGAAACAAGAATAGTAATATAGAGGAGACATTGAGTAGAGAACAAAGGGGAAAGGGAGAAAAGATGGCAAAAAAGAATCGAATGGATGAAATTATAAGGAAGAAGAAAATATATTTTTTGTTTGCATCAGAATGAAATTGCATGTATCATGTATTTTGTTGTCCTTTTCAAGCAATCAAAAACTTAAAAAATGATTAATTTATTCAAAATAATTTAGTATTTAGAGAATATCATATCAATTCATCATTTTTAGGTTGTGATATGATTCCAAAGAATAAATTGGATATGAACAATTTCAATAAAATTTTATTCTTGAACAAAAAATTATTTCATGTATTTTATGATGGAAATTCTATTAATAACCGAATTGGATCTGATGTAGGGATTTGCCGATGACGCTAATATGGAGAAAAGTATTGTGTAATCTGTCGTTGTGACTCAGTATCTCATACGACAACAATCTATGATGATTATGTTTATTTTCCTACATTTTCTAAATATATTTAATTATGTTTATGCATATAAAGATCAAGCATAATATTTAAATTTTGTATATGTGTATATATAATGAAATAGTTATATATATTTGATATTTTTCTTAATTTTTCTATTTATATAATTTATTATTAGAAAATCTAAAGTTATTCTTAATTACTTTCTTTTAAGTATTCCTCTCTTTTTTAGTTTAGAAAAACTCAAGAGTGATTATCATTAATTTGGCAATTTAATGACTACTTACTGTACAATAAAATAACAAACACGTATATTATTTAGCTAAGGATCTCCTTCTTTTTTCTTTTCTTTCTTTTGACTTCTTTTGTTCCATTATTCTCTATGTAACAATTTTTTATTTCTAATGGAATTGAATAACTAATACATATTTGTGAGACTTTTTCATTTTCTTAATCCGTTTTTCATTTCTTTCGTGTTTATAGATGATCAACAATTAATTAATCTCATTTAAGTTTAATTAACAATTAATACATATTAATATTCATGCATTTAATCTTCTCCCATATTGCTTATGTTTTCTCAAATTCTTCATTCAAATATATAGCATGTAGTACTTCAGTTTTGCAGTTGTAAGCTTGTCTAAAAGTCTAATTTTCATATATTTTGTTTTTAATTTTTTTTTAATAATGGTGTGACCTTTAGATCAGCTTGCGTGTGCATTTTAATTAATATCATGAGATAAATGTCACCTCTCATCAACAATAGATACCATGTCATTATTTAATTTGTTTCAATTATTTTATGTTAGATAAGTAGGAAGACAATGAAGAGAAAGAAAGAATGTAGATCTTCACTTGACATATTCACTATTTTATATGTTTAAAACTTTGTTAAATCAAAATTATCTTGTGAGATTCATATTATTTTGATTTGGTTGAATTTATTTGTACGAGCAATTAAAAAGACCAATAATAAGAGATTATATAAAAATTGAAAAACATAGAAACAACTACTAACATGAAGAAGAATTTGCTTACATATACATTTGTGATAAAAAAGAAAAAATATTAGAATAATTTATATTATTATGTTGGTTCTTCAGCAATATTCTTAGTTATTTGTTCTCCGGTTAAGATTATTGCTCCCAAGTCCTAAGCCCCATCTCCTAACTGATTGAATATTTTTCATATTTTTTAATTAAATTGAATAAATATTGTGTTATACAATTATACAAATATTTATGATTCTTCATATTACTACATAGTATGCTTTGCTTGGGAGAGTTATTTCAATATCTTTCATATATAATTTACAAGGCACAATAATAAATATTATCATAAGAAAAAAATAAGACAGTTAGATAAAATTAATAGGAGACTAGAGATAACGAATTTGAAGAGAAAAGGAAAGATAGATTTGATTTATAATATTATTCTTTTTCTATTTCTTTTCAATTTTATAAATGAAGGTGAATGAAAATGTAAAGATTAAAGAAGAGTGGTGAGTAGGAAACAAGTCATGGAAAGGAAGAGAAAAAAAAGAACAAAGTAAATATATTTTTTTATACAAAGATAGAAAACATGGTAGCATGCAAATGAGACTGTTAGACAAGTTCTGTTTATATAGTAGCCACGTTTTTAGATTTAAATTTAAAATATAGTATATAAACATACTAAATATTAAATTTTCCATGAAAGGAAATAGAGTTGAATACGTTTTTTAAAAATGTACAAAGGAAAATTATGTTTCCAATTTGTTACTCATGTACGTTAAGAGATCAATTTTATCATTCTCATGTTATGAATAAATTGTTCAAAAACTTATTACCGCGCGAAGCGCGGCTCAATTTACTAGTTTTATATATAATAGTGAATTATTGAAAAACTTGTTAGAGGAGCATTTTAAATAAAATAATAATTTTTACTTGCAAAATTTATAAAAAGTTCAAATATACGTATGTTTGAATTTTCAATTAGTTTTTTTTTTTCAAATTGAAATTGAAATTGAAATAGTGGTTTTATTAACTTTATAACTAAACGCCTAGAAAAGTATTTCCCCAAGTTTGAGATGTTGGATGACGACAGACACAAAAAGCCAAAGAAGTATGGATGGATACATAGGATAAGCATTAACCACAAAACGCATTATTGACAAACCTTACTCCTATGAAACTTCCTAAATGCCTACACCTCACACACCATTTTGTAATACACTATCTTTCGTTTCTGGATCGTTACTTTGACTAATTATTAAAGTTAAATTAATTACTCATCAACTTAATATTTGTAATATAAATATTTAAATATTATACAAAAAATACTATAAGTTATAATTATTTTCATGTCAATTTGATTAAAAAAATATGATAAAAATGTCAGACAATTTTTTATTATCATATGAATTTCAAAAAAATATCATATAATTTGAGACATTAAAAGGAATATATGGTACTCTATTTAGTTTGTCGAAAAAGTACGTACTACTTATATATAACTTTTCAATTTTCTTCTAAAGACAACTTGAGAAAGTCGAGAGAAATTTCATCCTGTGTTTAAGATCACAGTTTAGTGTATTTTTTTTTTTCAAGTGCTAAAAGTTTTTTGATATTTTAAACGGAAAAGGGTCAAAATTACCCCTGAACTATGCGAAATAGACCACTTATACCCTCTATTACATTTTGGGATCAAAAATACCCCCGCAGTTATCCCAAGAGACCACAAATACCCTCAAGAGTTAACACCCCAATTTTTTAGTGACGTGGCAAGCCACATGGGACTAATCCCTCCACCTAAGCATTGCCAACTAAGATTCACTACAAAAGAACTTGACTTTTAGTGGCGACAAAGTCACCACAAAATCCCAAAATATTGCCACTAAAGGTTATGAGTGATTTTTAGTGGCGACTGAGGCTCCAACAACCATTCGCTAGTAAAACCTATTTTTTCAATAGAAAAATATGATAATTAATTTTCGATTGCGGCCTAATTTTCTAAAATAAATAACTTACAATATCCATATTAAAAACATCCAATATTATTACGAAAAATAATCAAAATTACTTCTCAATTCAAATCTCCTACTATATATATATAATGCATCATTGTACATTTTATACATTTACATATGACATAAAAATAAAACATATAGTGTCTTCAAACTCCTACTTAATCGATATCATATTTGGTTTTTTTAAAATAATGAAGAAAAAAACACAAAATTAGAATTTAATGTTAAAAACTTTTAGTGACGATTTTCTGGGCTTTTGTGGCGACTGTTGTTGCCGCTAAAGGTCTAGTTCTTTTGTAGTGAATCCTAGTTGGCAACGCTTAGGTGGAAGGATTAGTCCCACGTGGCTTGCCACATCAACAAAAATTTGGGGTGTTAACTCTTGAGGGTATTTGTGGTCTCTTAGGATAACAATAGGAACATTTTTTATCCCAAAATGTAACGAAGGGTATAAATGATCTATTTCATATAGTTCGGGGGCAATTTTACCCTTTCCGTATTTTAAAAGTTGTAAGATTATTTCCTTTATGTGCCAAAAATAGTTCATTCTTTTTCAAATTTCATATCACCATCACCATATATAAAATTAAAAATCGAAGAGTACATATACTCCTTTCGTCCCTTTTAACTTGACATACATATTTATAAATTACAAAACAATACGATATAGTCAAATCAAACAATAAAAATACTATTAAAAGAGAACAAGCAATGCAGTCTAACCAAATATTGTATCTACCATACAATACAATACAATACAAAAACAATTGATACAATGATCCAAACATAGTGTAACTGATATAGCGAGTTTATTATTTTACCTCTATTAATTGATAGTCTTAAAACATATTTACTCACTACATTTTTCAAAGAGATTAACTCAATGCTAATAAATTGAGGATATAATAGGAGAAAAAAAATTGTTCTTGCTTGATTTGTCAAAAAATGACAAGTAAAAAAAAAATTTAATTAGAAAATATTGACAAGTAAACAGATACGGAGGGAGTATAAATAATTCACGACAAACACGAACATACGCATTTCAGATGCACTATAGTCGTGCAAATTAATACCGAAAGACCAGAAAAATGACAGACATATTTCCTCCAAGTCTTCACCTTTCCAGAAATGGCACTTTATTACCATCACGTATTAGTTAGGAAGAGAATGAGGCTAACAGATTCTACAATTGAAAAATGAGAGTGGGCAAGGCTTGATCCATAACTCATTCTACCTCATCAAATGAAACCTTCAAGAAATAACAATTAAGGAGTCCGGCCTCAAAACCAGTTGTTGTTGATACCTTCTTCTCGGTTCCATCTTCCATAACCAGAGCTCAGAGAAGGATGAGATAAGAGGGCTCTATGGAGAATGTGGTCAGAAACATAATAGAGTCTGACCACAACAATCAATGTTAAGTCTGACTATGCACGCAACTGACTACTTATGAAAGATCGAACAGGAAATGAAAAGTCGTACTACAACAACTGTTAATAAACATTCCATCCCTGCTCTTTGATCAACTTGCCCACATCGACGGCCATTTTTTGAAAAGGGGAACTCTCTCTAAACAGACTAAAACAAACACTTCGCTCGGTGAATTGTGGCAAACAAATTTAACTCCGTTAGTCACCCCAAAACCCAAAAAAATATCACACAAATTTTAAAGATAGTTTGCCCACAAATGGGCGAACTATGATTCTTTTTATCAACTTCTTACATGAAGTGCTTCAGTAACAAGAGCTTGTATAACTACTAAACAGGATTGACACTGCGAAAGAAATTGAAGCTTTAGGAAAGATCTCATATTTAAAAATTTCATAAATCTTCCCGCAATGATACAAGAGGTTAATATATTTGTAATTCATAAGACAGCGCGATCACGAACATGACTTTTAGCTAACTACTTCAGATTACAGTACTATTCATCAGCAAGATGGAGGAATCCATTGATCGCCCTGAATGAAATTTTGTACAGAGTATGAGCCAACATGTTCAGCTGGGATTTGGCTACTCCATGGCACCCGTCCTGTTGTATTTGCTCCAGGACCAGTACTTTCGAGTTCTCCATAGTAAAGAGTACTCAGAGCAAAATTTCCATTCCAAGGCATCCATCCATCAGTACTAACAAGAGCTTCCAATGTACAATGTATAAAGACTGTCCTAGAATACTCCTTCCATGGCCTTCCGAGGAAATTTTTATGTACTTTAGGCTTGCTGTAGTATAAGGTCATGTAATCTGCAGTTCCATTTATTAAACAGTTTTGGAAGACGAAGCCAGTTGATTGCGCTGGGTCTATCCTTCCATGAGCTGTAACAGCATTGTTCTCTCCCTTCTCTGGATTTAGTTGCCGAGGAGCAACAAGGATGTCACATTCTTGGAAGACGGTAGCTGAGTTCCCGAAAATGAAGTCTACATTGCCTTGGATGCGGCATGACTTGTAGTATTGGCGCATAGAGTGGGCGTACAGGGTGTCCTGATTGCCAAGAAATTCGCAATTCTCAATGATGGAAAGGTCACTATCGGATCGGAATGCTACAGCTTGGTGAGCATCTGGACCTGCTGTATTTTGGATTGTGATACCACTGGCCATGAATCCATCACCAACAACTCCTATCGTTAGAAATATGAACATCAGAACTCTAACAAACTAATGTAGCAGCCATAAGAAGAGAGAAATACACAAAAATGAAAGAATTAAGTATGCAGTAATTCACTCACCAACAGTTGCAGAATCATAAGTGGAAACGCCCAACTGTCCAACATTCCTGGATCCGGTAATGACGGTTTTCCCCATACCATCACCCAGAAAGACCAAATTCCTCTTCTCCAATGGCACCCGAACTATCTCCTCATACAATCCAGCTTTGATCCATATCACAAACCGCCTCGCTACCCCATTTTCCGGCGCCGAATTCACTGCCTGCTGCACCGTCTCATAATCACAACCACCAGCGGCAGCCTTGCACACTGTCACATCTGGTTTCAGTCCTCTAGGTACCCCACCGTTGAATTCCTGCCCAGTAGACCCACCAGCACCTAATTCCCAGAACCCGTCTCGTTCCGTCTTGGGCGGGCTCCAAGACCCAGTTTCTTTCCTCAAATTGTCGTAATTCACCATCATCCCCAGTGCATTACTGCTATACCCGATCAAGGAGTTGAGAAACGCCATCGTTTCATTCACCTGATATGTTTCATTTACGTACTTCAAAGCAGACCAGCAGTCGTACTGGTATACCATGGCAGCGCTCATCCAGGCACGAGCATCTTTGATCGCGCCACGTGGCAAGGCCTCAGCCGTGAGATTCAATCTATAGTCAGAAAAGCAGAGCACCTCAATACAAACTTTTGCTGCGTTTGTACGGTTTAGATTCCCTGTGGAAGCATCGAGGATATTCTTCACCATTGACTGAGCCTGGTTAAGGTTCTGGGAAGAGACCTCCAAGGCTGATTGAATGATTTGGGGTGTCGTCAAGTGTTTTGGCTGGACCAATACCAATACAGCCTGGCATGTTGGAGGGTCACGTGAGGCCTTGCAAGCTTCTTGAATCTCAACTGGAATGGATGATGATGAGAAGGAATTATGAGTTTTCGGCTTCGAAATAGGTGAATGGCTGTAGTGGTTACTGGCGACGGCGGTAGTGAATAAGAAGAGGAAACCAAGGAAGGAGAGCTGGAGTGGTACTATTAGAGAGTATAAGGACGCCATGAAAATGAAGAGAATACAAAATGTGTGAGGTTGAATAATTATGAAGAATAGATTTTGCAGGCGGAGAGTTATTAAGGACGTGTAATTACAAATATGATAATGGTGTTTAGTGTGGAAGGCTTCACGGGTTTTATTTTGGAATTATTAGTGAGTGGGTTTAAATTTTTTATTACTTTCTCCGTCCATTTTCGAAAATCTATACGAAAAATACTATTCCCTCCGTCCATTGTTAATTGTCATAATTTCTTTTCTTAGAATCAAACGATAAGAACTTTGACCAAAATTTTAGGATGTATTTATCCTAATCATATTGATATGCAAAAAATTACAATTTATAGTATTTTTCGTATAGTTTTCAAATATTTAATTTTTTGTTTAAAAGATCGAATTAATGTAATCTAGTTTCACTTTGAAAATTAGTCAAATTAATTTTCGAAAAGTGCAACAATTAAAAATGGACAGATGGAGTATAAATTACAATTTTTTGCATATCAATATGATGAAAAAATACATCATAAAATGTTAGTCAGTTTTTATAGATTGACTCTAAAAAGGAAATAAAATGTTAGTCAAAATTTTTATAGGTGGACTCTAAAAGGAAACTATGATAATTAAAAGTGAATGTAAGTAGTATGTGATAGTAACAATTTTGATTAAATATTTTTTATATGTTTTAAAAATATTTTAAGTTGTTAGTTATTGTAAGTTATAACATATTTTTACGTAATTTTTAAATATATAAATTTATTTCATAAAATTAACGTTTCTGAAGTTCTATAGTTTAAAGTTTGAATTTAGAAATTTCAATTATGCCGCGTAAATTAAGGCCTAACACAACTGATTTTACTGATGTTGTTTATTCGTTACTAAGTTTTTAGAAATAAATTTTAATTTTTTTGTGGTTTAAAACAAACAATTAATATTTGTGCTTCTTTGATCAGTATTTGTATTTTTCTTTTTTCTTTTTTTTTGACATTTTAATTATCATCCATTCTCATATAATATTAACACAATATTAATCTGACTAGCTAATTTAATTAATAAAAGCCTCACCCACGTTGCGCTCATAATTTATCCGTTTGTCTTAACCATTCGTTTCTCAACCCGCGCATTACAATTACTCTTTACTGATAAATGACATTAAATCAGCCCAACGCTTCTTTTCCTTTAAAAAATAATTGTTCCTTCTTTCCCTTTTAACTTCTTTCAATCCACCATCTTCCTCATTTTTTTTCCTATCCTGGAAAATCCTCTTTTCTTATTTCACCCTTTACCTCTCAACTTCTTTCTACTATTCAACAACAATTACAACATATTCACAAGCAGGGGCGGATGTACACTGTTTGCAGGGAGGTCATCCGATCCTCCTCGATAAAAAAATTACACTATATATATAAGATTGATTTTTTTATATACATGTATATATTTAAAATTGAACCACCTAAATATATAACAAAGGAGTAGCCCAATGATTGAGGGGGTTCAAGATTTCGCTTAAGTGAGTTTTGGGTCACGGGATCGATTCAAGGCAACAACATTTTTTTTTTGTTGTAATTTTTAGCAATTTTGCAGGTTTTTTTTTTTTTTTTAAGTTAAAGATAGGCCAAACCCATTTTTATTAAACAAAAGGGGCAAAAAACACCCAGATCAGCCCATGTCCACTAAAGGACAACAAAGCCTAAAGCCCTAAATCATTCTTTCTAATTACAAAATAGGAAACTATCCTAGCAAAGAAAATCAGCAAAACAGAGAAATTTTCAACCATTGAAAATTAGAGACATTGAAAACCAAGCCTGTTGTTGCTGCTGCCTGCTGCTTGCTGCCGCTGGTGGAGGAGTGGTGGTACTCCGTGGATTAATTTCATTCTCTCCTTCAGGCTCTATTTGTGATGGCAACCTCTGTAAGTTTTCTTTTTTGTTTTTTTTTTTAAAAAAAATTTCAGAATTCTATGCTTTGATTTTGGTATTTGTTGATGTGCTATTTTATTTAACTGATTGAACTCAGATATTCACTTCTCTTAACAATTTTTTATTTTTCATATGAAAATTTCAATTCTATTCACTGATTATGAAAGTTATAATTTTATTTGTTTGGGCTTATTTGTTGATTTTATATGTTTATTATGGACATTCAACATTTGTTCAGTGGATATTAACTTTTATTTATGAGATTCAATCTTTTGTTCATTGTCTATAATTTTGTTTTGGTCCTTATTGCATATTTAATTTTTGTAAGTTCTGACTAAATTTTTATTTTACGATTCAGTCTCAATATTCAGTGAAAAAGTATTTTACACAAGTACCGAAATTAACTTTAGCCTCTCAAAGTCATAGTCAATCTAATCAAAAAGAAAATACTAATCATTCAGAAGTGTCATTAGATTCTTCTCAAGAATTTGATTTGAATTCTTTAAAGTTTGATCCTGGTGAAAGAACATCAATATTGAACTATCATCCAAACCATCGTGATGTTATTAGAAGAGCATACCTTTTGAATGGTCCTTGTCAACCTCGTTTGGCGGTGCAAGAGTATCCTCAAATAGATATTTTTGGATCAATGCATCGTTTTAATCATGAATGGTTTGATAATATATATCATGATTGGTTGGAGTATAGTGTTAGTAAAGATGCAGTCTATTGTTTGTATTGCTATCTTTTTAAAGATCATAACACTAATCAAGGAGGAGGGGAGACATTTTCAACTATAGGATTTAAGAGTTGGAACAAAAAGGATGGTCTTGACAAACATATTGGTCTACCGAATAGCATACATAATCTATCAAAAAAGAAATGTCAAGATTTACTACAACAATGGCGGTCTATTCAATTTGCATTTGAGAGGCAATCTAATCAACTCAAGCATGGATATTATATGCGCTTAAGTGCATCGGTTGATGTAGTAAGACTTCTCATAAGTCAGAAATTTGCATTTTGAGGTCATGATAAATCTAAATCATCACTTAGTAGGGGTAACTTTCTTGAAATTCTCTCATGGTATGCAAAAAAATGTGATAAAATTCGTGATTATGTTTTGAAACATGCTCCTGTAAATGATCAAATGACTTCTCCAATGATTCAAAAAGATATTGTGAGTGCATGTAAGATAGAGACCGTTAAAGCTATTCTTGAGGAATTAAATGGTGACTACTTTGCTTTACTAGTTGATGAATCCTTTGATGTGTCACGCAAGGAGCAAATGACTATCGTATTTCGTTATATTGATAGAATGAGATTTGTAATGGAGCGACTTATTGACATTGTTCATGTTGAAGATACTAGTGCTTCATCTTTAAAGGAGGCAATTTTTAATTTACTTGCTCAACATTCTTTGAGTCCATCAAGTGTGCGTGGACAATGTTACGATGGGGCGAGTAATATGCAAGGTGAGATCAATGGCCTTAAAATGTTGATTAGACGAGAAAGTAAATCGGCTCATTCAATCCACTGTTTTGCTCATCAACTTCAACTAACTCTTGTTGGGGTCTCTAAAAAGTGTGTTGAAGTGGGAAAACTTGTAGTATTGATCTCAAATATTTTTCATGTATTGGGATCTTCTTTTAAGCGTATGGATAATTTACGAGATTCTCAAAAATCAACAATTCAAGTGGCATTAGATATGGGTGAACTTACAACCGGTAGGGGCTTGAATCAACAACTTGATCTTTCAAGAGCTTGTGATACTCGTTGGGGATCTCATCGTAAATCCTTTAACAATTTTATTATTATGTTTGGCTCTATTCTTGAGGTTCTTGAATCACTTGCTCTTGATGCAAGGAGTATGGATGAAAGAGCCAAGGCAATGGAACATCTTGAACCTTGTCAAACATTTGAGATTGCGTTTATGTTGCATTTGAAGGGAGATGTCTTAGCACTCACAAATGAGCTTAATAAATGCTTACAAAAAAAAGAGCAAGATATTGCAAATGCCATGCTACTTGTTGAAGTAGCAAAGAGAAGGTTGCAAGTCTTAAGAGATGATGAATGAGATTCTCTTATTGCCAAGGTATCTACATTTTGTATCAAACATGATGTTTTGATACCTAACTTTGAGGAGTCATATGTTAGCTCTTTAAGATCACGGCGAAAACTTGCTAACTATGCAATCTTACATCATTATCGTGTTGAAGTGTTTTGCAATATCATTGATTGGCAACTTCAAGAACTTAATGATCATTTTGATGATGAGGTGACTACCGATTTGCTCCATGGAATTGTTTGCTTGAATCCAATTAACTATTTTCAAGTTTTGACATAAGAAAAGTAATGAGAATGGCTGAATTATATCCAGATGACTTTGATGAATCCAATATGCGTATTCTTGAGAATCAACTTGCAAGTTACATTGTTGATGTTCGTGATGTTGATGAAAGGTTCTCCGATCTAAATGGGCTTTGTGATCTTTCCAAAAGATTAGTTCAGACAAAGAAACATTCAAATTATCCTCTTGTATTTCGCTTGGTAAAACTTGCTCTACTTTTACCAGTTGCCACTGCCTCCGTTGAAAGAGTTTTTTCGTCAATGAAGTTTATCAAGAATGACTTGCAGAGTCAAATGAGTGATGATTTTTTTAGTGGTTGTTTGATGCCTTATTTAAAAAAAGATGTACTTGATAAGATTTCTAATGATGTTATTATTAAGACATTTCAAGATATAAAATCTCGTAGAATACAATTGTAAAAATGTATGTAGTTGTCTTTTTAAATGTAAAACTATGTTTTGATAGGTTTATCCTCATGTTTGGTTTCTTAACCTCCCTTCAAGGCTGTGTAGTTTTGAAATGTAATGAAGTCATTTTATGCCAAAAAGATTTTTTGTGAAGAAATAGTATTTTCGCTTTGATTTGTGTTTTTTGTTAGTCTTTCTAATGTTAAATTTGTGTTTCCTCTCCATTTGCACTTTCAGGAGCCGAAGAGAATTCTAAAGGAATTGAAGAACTTGTAGAACTTTTTGAATGAATTGTGCTACTTTATTATCATTTTATAGATATGTACTTTAAATTTG